GAACACAAGAGAGTGGAATTCAATTTTGACGTGAAGAATGATGTAAAGAACAGAATAGAGTGGAATTTAGTTTTGTTTGCATAACCATTCGATTGTTGTCTTAACATGAATGATTGTAGTGATTCTTATAGTAAGATTGATAACATTCACAGTTGAACCGTGTTATGTTCAGCGAAACGGAGTTACGTTCACTCTAAACACCATATGTATGCACTTTTCATTTGTGGAAGTAAAAATGGTGTTTGCAGTAACCGAAACTTATCTCGTTCAATTGAAAATTCTTTAGACATCGAAGAGCATTTCGAGTGAGTCCGGGAATAGTTTGATATGGTATGAACGTCTTGTGATTCATATTGCACGATTGTTGGCAAATGAAAGAAATGCATTGATATTGTTTGTGAAATGAATATGGGTGATGTGTGTTCGTAAGATGTGTGATGTTCGTAATGTTTGTTTTAGTGTGCTATCAATGACAAAGATTCTCGACTTTTTGGTGCGAATCGATGTTATTAGTGTACCACAAAAGTTAGACATCATTCAGCAGTTGGCCTTTCCGACGCTTGCTGCAATGCCGTCAGCTAATGATAGCGCTAGTAATAAATTGAATTCGATTAATGCAAAAGTGCCAACAACTCCAAAAGATTGGAGTATTGCGGCACGTTGTGCGAATGCAAAAAATCCTCTAACGAAACGTTTATTGGACATTATGAATAAGGTTAGATTTTTCATTTTTTTAATCATAAAATTTTCATTTTCCACCTTTTATTCCATATTTTCTCAATATTAACCGATAATTTCTACCCGAGTTTTTTTTGGAAGAACCTAAGTTAGGGAAATTCTTGGAAATTTTGAGGTTTTATAACCTTGTGGTGGGTTTCAGAAGAAGACTGGTTTGTGNGCTTCAAATGCAAACGACTTCATAATTTTCGAAGATCGGTGAGTGTTTTTTGGTGGAGTTTTAAAAGTTTCCTTGATAAAGTGATTGATAAAAAGAGTGTTTATGTGCAAAAACTTCAGAAATGGATTGACTATCTGTTGACTTATTTCTCTTTTTTGCAGTTATCTTATTAATTTGTTTATTTATCTATTTATCCATTCAATTAAAATTGGATAGTGATTGTATTGATGTTGTCCTTAGTCATGAGAGACTTGCTACAGGAAATTGGCAGATACAGGGAATACAGTTGAATTGCAAGTCACAAAAGGTCTTTACAATATTGCTTCATGGGCACATATCGTTACTGTGCATGCATTGCCTGGACAACCGATTCTGACAGCGATTAGAAAAGTGAATTTTTGGAAAATTTTAACTTGATTTTGCTCATAAGTCCGATATTTTTATCGTGCTTTTGACTCGACATGGGACAGATACGCGAAATGATTACTAGAGCTTGAGACGTCATGTTTCTTGATGAATCCGAAGTGAGCTTCTGAAAATCAAAATGATGTCGACCAAGAACAATATCAGTGATATAAATTTTTGAAAGAGTTTATGTGTATTTTATTCATTTTTGCTTCTTTTGTTGTGATTTTGACGAAATTTATCCTTCCTCAAAAAGACTTAAAAGGATTTTGAAGTTTCGGAACGCTCTCATTTCTAGGTGATCCAACGAGATGTAACGAAAATGGGTAGTTGTTTGTTAATCGCTGAATTGAGCACACAGGGAGCGTTGACAAACTTGAAGGAATATCGTGACGGTGGGTGTTATTTCACATTGAAACGCTGGAATTTCAAATAGTTTTTCTTGTTTTCAAGGAATCGTTTTCGTATTTTTTTCGATACTTTCTTTCAACGTATTGTTAAAAGATTTTCGGTTCGCAGTTTAGTTGTTTTCAATTGAATGAAGCAGAGTTTTGGAAATAATTTTTGAGATTTGAGGCGTCATCCAATTGGCAAAAGTGAATCGTGATGTGGTTTCGGGTTTCATTTGTCAAAATCGTTGCTTGGATGATCCGTCGTTTGTATACTGGACACCGGGTTCGATTTTTCTAGATTTGCTTGTCTTGAGAATTGTTTTTTAGTCGCCATTTAATATTGTTTTTCAATTTTTAATATTAATTATCATTTGCCTTAATGAATCATAGTATTTCAAATGGTGTTTAAACAATAGGAGCAGATAAAGTGGTGTTTTTTCCAAATTAGAATCGTTTCAAAGTGACGCTTCATGTGAGGTGATTCTCAACACAACTCACTGAATGCCTAAGGAATGGTATTGTGCATAATGATTAAGAAGAAATATTATATTTGATTCAAAATCTTTGCAAAAATTTGCGATTCCGATTCACAAATCGCAATTAAAGCTTTTGAATGGTTGTGCTGTTGAAGGTGTGAATTTGGACGCAGCCACGGATGGTGCTGGACAACAATGGCGATCGGTGGAGAAGGCGATCTGCGAGCAAGGAAATGACATTATTATCGTGGGACGTGCTATCACGGATGCTGCTGATATACACACACAAATGAGGAGATACCGTGACGCTTCGTGGGAGGCGATTCTGAATAGAACTCACTGAATACGCCCAAGAAATGATATTGTGTGCATAATGACTGAGAAGGAATATTTTATTCGTACTTTAGAGTGTATTCGAAAATTATTCCGATGTTTGTTTTATCCAAAAAAAGATTTTAATTGAACACATATCGTGATATTCGAGAATTGTTTTGGAGAAATTTTTGACGTTTTAGTGAAATTCTTCAATTCATAGTCATGGTTTTTGAATGGTGTTTTAGGGCAATTCTCGGACATGACGGATAAGCATTACTTTTATTATCTGTTAGGTGAAATGTTCGTTCAAGGTTGGAGAATTCGAGTTTGGAAATCATTCTGAAGCATATTTTTAAAAAAATCAAATAGTGCTCTTGTGTTGAATAAATCGACGATTTAATCATGTATTTCTCTTGAGATTCTCGTTGACTATTATCATTATTATGATTGTTATTGCTCTACCTTCATTATTGTTATCACTGCTGTTGTTGTGTAATCATTTTGTTGGTTTTTCGTTTAATTTTTCGTTCGTATCTCATTCTTCGTGAAATTTCCTTCCACATTACTGATGATTTTGTTTAATAGTCAAAGAGTATTGTATTTGTTACTTTTTGGTTTTCGATCATCTTAACATTATTGCCATTCTTATTGTTATCATCATAATCGTTTGATATTCTATTGGATGAAACTTTAATGCTGTTCCAAATCAGATTTTGAGCATACTCATACGGAAGATCTATCAGTGATTTTTATTGTCCTTAATGGTCGTCATGCTATCATCGCGTGTTGATTGTCGTTATCATTACGAAAGTTATTTATTGTTGTTTCTATTGGCTATCATTGTTATGATCATTTCTAATGCTGTTATCACAATTGTTATTACATAGTTGTTTCGTTGTTGTTGTTAATTTCAATACGTGTTCGCATTTATTTTCCTCGTTAGATTCTACAGTTTTCTAGCCTGCCATGGACCGCAACCATCTTCCGACTGGGACTTTTATTAGTACAGCTTTCGTTGATTTCTGCAGTATTAAATTTATCATGACTGATTTCTTGTTATAGCGATTGTTAAAGCCCATGGCAAAATATCGAATTGATCGCGTGAATTTTTGTTGTTGTTATTGTTGTTACCAGATTCTTATACTACTATAGTAATATCATATTGTTATTTATGCTGATGAACAAATGATGCAATAATACACCTATTGATGACAGATAAAACTATTTCAATGAAATATGTTTGTGAACAAATAAGAATGATCTTAAAAATTTTTCAAATGTGAAAATCAAGTCACAAAGTACAAAAAACCGCGAATGCCGTTCGTTTATAAATCATCCATTACTGATCCTTATTGATGTCGATTAGGAGTTTATGCAAATGGAAATTCAAC